CCTCCCCCCCTACCGCAACCTGTCCCACGAGGTGGAAGACGCGTGTGGTAAAAAGCCTAATTATTGCAAATGCTCTTGAGAAATTAAGCCATCAAATGAGACTGATTTCAAACGAATTTCTTGAATGCGGAGCAACGACCAGGCTTTGAATTCGTCGTTGTAGTCGCCTGCTTACTGAAGTCAGACCTTTATGACGCAAATACACATCAAAGTGCTCTATGCGCAAACCCGTAGATTTCCCAGTGAATGCTAACCTTTGCGTGAAATGAAATTACTCTTTTCATTAAAAAAAAAATAGGTCCGCATTACGGACATGAGTGGCTTGCGGGTTATTTTAGTTCATATACGAGTTACTTTATTGATTTCTGGCAATACTCGTTCCAACAGATGCACTTCATGAACTGGATCGCTCCGACGGATTAACACACTTTTAGCCTGCGAGTAGGCACTTAATTCGCGGACCAAGGCTTCATTTTTATTTCTGTGAAGAGCTTGCTAGCTGGCTAACACACTCTTTATTGAGCCACTTTACTTCGTAAACTTCTCATCACCTAATAGGTTGCCCATCATGTTTTCCTTGTCGCCTGAAGACGAAAGTTAGTCTGTTTAATCGAGTCAGCGCTGCTAGATTGAGTGCGCGGTTGTTTGGACGACTAATCACAATAGTCTGTGAATAAGGACAAAGCGACTCTGCTCGTTGGGAGAAATCGAAGATTTTTATGAATTACAAACACACAACATGTAAGCCATCGGATGCGATTCGATTATGCGAAACAGCAAGGTCACGTAACATCAAAAACCGTGTATTTATAAGGTAAAATAAGTACATTGGTGTTCTTCACGAAAAAAGAGTTAAACAAGAAAAGAAAAGGACCAATGGCTTAAGAAAAAAAAAAAAATAATAAACGAAAAAAATAAAGCCGACGGATCCTGGAATCGAACTCGAGCCCACTAGATTGGAACACGAGTGCTGCCCATTGTAACACGTAAGAAACCTTGATCTAAGGGGAAAAATCACAATGCACTTCAGCCTTATCTCAAATTGGCCAGCAAATATGCGAATAGACCGCTTTCATATTCTCGGTATCGGACTGGAACTAGCTTGGAACTGAGGCTAATGGGGGGAGTGTTTTCAAATGCAAATGGCATTAATCTCTTTTTAATGATATTCCCCTGCTAGAGCCTCCATTACAGGCTAGTTCCAGTCCAATACCGAGAATACGAAAATGGTCTAATATTAGCTGACCAGTATGCGATGCGACATATATAATAATTGAGGATATTAAACGAACTCGAGATGTTTTATTTTTATTCTCTCATTCACGTTAATGTGCCCATAACGTCACAATTTTTATTTTCTCATCTGATTCTATATATCACTCAATGAAAACGTTCAAATTTGCCGCTATTTTGGTCCACCATTCGCCCCAGTCTTCCCTCGGATTGGAATGAGTTGTGACGTAGATTCAGGAACACGCGACTTCAGGCTCGACTCATTTCGCTGTTTTCTAGGCGTTTCTCTAACTCTTCCTCTAAGTTTTGTTTTTTGTCTTGTCCCTTACGTTAATTTTCTAGCCATTCTTCTCTTCCAGCGGTTCTCGGCGTATGGCTCGAGCGAATCGTCTTCGCGTTCATAGTTTCGTCCGCGCGCTTTCCTTTCTGCGGCCTCCACGTCTACATTTTCAAATTCATCTTGACCGTATTCCGCGGCGTTATTGCTATCTGTACCGGTTAACTCTTCATCCATGACAAACAATTCTGTATTGTTGCTCCTACGTTGTATTTCTATTGACTTAGGGTTCCTGAACCTACGTCACAAGCTTCAGTCACGTGGCCAATTATGAGCATGTAGATCTTGTGATCAGCGGCACGGGTCGACCGCAAGAAAATAGGATTTTCAGGCTTTTAAAAATTCATAAAAAAAATCGCGTTTTATCCAAATCGAAATTTTTTTTTGCAGAAGTTCATTGTGTGAAATATAGGATCAGATGGGAAAATAAAAAGTTTTGACGTTATGGGCACTTAAACAATGTCAACATTGGAGTTATTCGTTGTTACCCGTTTTTCTGCCGGTGCCATGCTTTGTCTTGTCTGTCGTTTTTGTTTATTTACACCTGTTCTGTCTGCTTGCCTGATCTCTCAGTGAACGATGGAGTGTATACTCCGTTATTTTGGGTTAATATTCTGTTTCGTGACTTCCGACGCTTTCTACGATAGTTCTTCGTTCTCTTTAACTGGGGACTTTCGTCAATTTGCGGCGGGGAAGTTTAAAAGTATATTGACAGATTCTTGCAGCAGTGGCCGTATCAGGCATCAACAAATCGAAAAAGGACCCGGGCGAAGCGAAAAGATAATGAAACAGCTTGTCGAAGTCGTGTCGCGGAAAACGAACAAGACAGAAGAAATGAACTCGATTCCACAACATAATTTTGTCACCAAACTCACCAATAGCACCATTTCATCTGAGGCCCCTGACGATGATAAAGCTACTGAAGAAGATTATGAACTAAACTTGTTACCCAACACTTCTGAAAGTGGAGCTGTATGCCTCGACGGTACCCCTCCTGGTTATTATTTCCACAATGGAAGTGGCAAAGGGAAGTCTAATTGGATCATATTTTTTCAGGGGGGTGCGTGGTGTCATGACCCTGATACTTGCTATCAAAGACGTAGCACCGCGCTAGGGTCGTCTGCGTGTTTTCGTCGCCATCTTCGTCTTGAAGGATTGCTTTCAAACCAAGTGAAATACAACCCTGACTTTTACAACTGGACGAAAGTGTTTGTGCCATATTGTGATGGCGCTTCGTTCACTGGAAATCGCGAGAAGCCGTTAAAAGTTAAAAACAAGCTGCTTTATTTCCGAGGCAGACGAATACTTGATGCCTTATTAGATGAGTTGCTCCGAAGAAGTATCGACAAGGCCTCCGAGATCATATTGAGCGGTCGGTCAGCTGGCGCCCTCTCTGCGATTATACACGCCGATTATATCCGAACGCGTTTTAGTCGCGCAGCGAACGCGTCCTTCCGCGTACTTGCAGATGCGGGATTCTTTGTGGACGCGCCCTCGTTGAATGGCACTGAAATAATACGATCTGCTTTTCAGCAGCTATACACTTTACATAATTCGTCATTGAATCAAGCTTGTTTAGGTGCACAAGAGCGTAAACAAGAGTGGCGCTGTCTTTTTCCGCAGTACTCCGTCCCCTTCGTCAATTTACCAATATTTTTGGTAAACTCGTTGTACGATCTATGGCAGATAGCCTACTTGTCTAATATTCCTTGCGTCTTAAATGTAAAGACTTGTAATTCAACAGAGTTGTCTCAAATCATGAAATTTCGTGAGAAGACATTGCGTGCATTGCGCTCCGTTTTTGACTCGAAAAAGACCGCCGTTTTTGCAGATGCCTGTCTTGTTCACACCCAGTGTGTTATGAATGCGTTATGGACGCGAATTCAAGTACAAAATGTTACAATTTCCCAAGCATTTACT